CAGGGGAACAAAACAGTGGAGCTGAAAACCTGTGGTGGGAGCCAGTGAGGCATTGGGGTTGATTTACTTAAAGACCATAGGCTGTGCGATGGGGATTAAGAAAACAAAACAAAAAAAAAGGATTTTTGCTTGTACCCGATTTGATGATTAAATGAACACGGCTTCACCTTATTCACTAAGCTAAGTGAACATTCACTTTGTAATGTGGAAATACATTTTGCAGAGCAGAACAGACCTTATTCCATTAGTAAATCAACCCTATTGGGTGCTGTAAGATATTAAGATATTTATAAATGTATGATTACATATGGAATTGAATTAAACACAGATGTCTGGTCCTGTTTTTCCATCCAGTTGTGAGAAACAAAGAAACCTTATTTAAACTTTGGCAAATGGCTAGATCTTCACTGGTAACCACACAAATTAGACCCCCCAGTCAGTAGAGGAATAGCACAGTATAGCCTGCAAAAACTCCAGTTGCTTACTGTTTATTTCATCAATGCCACATTGCAAGGCTGAATATCTGCTTTATTATTTCCATGTTGTTGACTCCAGTGCTGAGAGTGTCTGCTGGCTCTTATTGATTGCTACAAAAATTAAAATAGAACTCCAACCATAATTCAAAAAATAAAACTGTTCTGGATAGAGAATAGCAGGACCATGTCAGTGTTTTATTGAACAGATTTCCCACATGTGCTGTTGTGTCACTTGGGGATGAAAAATTAGAGGCTTTGGTCACAAACAAGGATGCAGCAACAAAAACATAATAGGGGTGTGTTCATACATCATGCTGCATCAGGCACACCTAAAGGATGATGCCCACTTACGTAGAAGCTCTGCCCCTTTCATGCAATTATTTGAGTGAAAACTAATACTAAAACTAACACTAGCAAGCAAACAAAATGGGTGATGAGTGATGGCTTCTTGAACTACAGTGAGTCTTCTGACTATTCTTAGCATCCCCTGCACACACTTTCCACTATAGATTGTTTGCTGAATTCAGCCACAAATGTCCATAGGTGGCCAGAAGAGAAATACTGCCCTGGCTTTAAGGTGATATTAAATTCAAAAGGAAAGTAAATATCACAAGCGCCAGCACCTGCAACTGTGTAGAGATGCAGTGTAATACACTCTCGAGGCAGCTCCCGCTGGTTAGGTCGGCCGAAAAACTGAAATAGAAGACAAAAGGAGTGCCTCCATCGTGTAAAACTTTTAATGTGATGGTATATAAACAGCTAAAACCATACTCACAAAACAAATGGAATTAGCAGGCATGTAGAAAAGATGGGCAAACGAAAACACAGCTAATGCAAATGTGGTTCTGAAGAAGGAGGCGTGGCCTCTGAAATGCGTAGACCAGGGAGGACTCACAGCCTGTCAGCTGATGTAACGGCTAGGTCAGGATATATGAATCTCAGCTGCGGCGTGTGCCTAGCTCAGGTGTAATTGTTTAGGGGTACGGCTTCAGGGTCGAGCTCCAGGCGTCACTCTCAAACATTAACGGAGAGTTAGGAGCTCTACCATCATATGCCGCAATTACTTTGTTTTAAGTGGTGATGCCCACGAGTAGCCCCAGGGTATTACAGCATACCTGGGTTACAACTATTATGTGTGGTTCAAGCAGGTTCAAAATAATATGACTTTGGTAAGGAGTATCAACAAAAAGAAATATCAGCACTTGATTCAAGCAGGTTCAAATAATACGACTTTGGTAAGGAGTATCAACAAAAATAAATATCAGCACTTCCCCTTTAAATGGTGTGGCTCAGATAGTAATGAGGAAGTCCATACAGCAGTTGCATGAGTTCAAAATAATGACTTCAGAGAGCTCTAGCTGGGACAGGCTGTCACAGACTAGGCAATACTTGCTATTTGATGTCCTAGCACAAAAAGGGTTCTTTCAGGCAACAGGTCCAATGGTCCAGGAAGGGGATCTCTGGTTGTCAGCTGGCGTTCACTGGCAATAGTGGAACGCCATACTGATCTCTCTGTCAGCCTTTTATAGGGGAGGAGTGTGGGAGGAGCTGCCGACATCATAGGGGCCGATGCGTTCCACGCTGGAACGCATTGGCTCATCTACTTCCGTCCCGCGGCTTGCGTTCCACGGTGGAGCGCAGCCGCGATCGTTACAGCTGAGGCTTTTTGCGTTATCTGTGTTTTCGTTTGCCCATCTTTTCTACATGCCTGCTAATTCCATTTGTTTGTGAGTATGGTTTTAGCACATTAAAACGTTTTACATAATGGAGGCGCTCCTTTTGTCTTCTAAAGTCAAAAGGGTTTTAAGCTATCCCATGCGTTGATTAGATCACTTATAATGGATGGTGCTCCTTGATGTTTAAAAGTTTTGGTTTTCTGCAGAATCAGCTGGTCCCCTGAGCGCTGGCTCTGAAATCCTGTTTTAGGGTGGCTCCTCTCCCTTGTAGGGTCCTATGGAGCCACTCTTGTGTGTGTTAGGAAGTTGTATGTGTCTCCACAAACACACAAGCACAGAAAGGCAAGACACTCCCCTATTTACAGTTCCTCCTTCCTCCTCCTCCTCCTTCAAGCTAAGATACGGACAGCTGCTGAAAACTGCTCTGTCCCATGTGATCTTGTTCAGGGATGCTGAGCTGAGAGAGTTGGAGCCAACTGTTTGGATACATAAATACTATAAGTGTTTGGGAAAAAACGTAAAAAGAAATATGTTTCTGGGCAATGTATATTTGTTTGGTCTGGATTCATTATTGAAAAAATGTCCTCTGTTTGGGTGATAGTTAAACTGTTGGGTGAAAATTTTATGACGCATGTTATGTGTATGTTAAATGATAATGTCACCTTTTTCATAACATAATAAATGTACACTCCTTCATAAAAGAAAAACATGTGCATTTATTATTATAATTTTTTTTGGATAGGAGCCAGCAAAGCATTGCAACCGCAATCAATAGATCGCTGCTGCAATGGACTGGCTCCTGCAGAGCCAGAGCAATGTCTCTCCCATCCATGAACCTCCCATCCATGTCCGTACCAAGGTACAGATATTCACTAAAATCAAAGGTTCCCATCAAACAAAACGTTGCTTTCACACATGAAACCATGTATATTTGGTGTTAAATAAAGATGTGTTGATATATTGGACCTTGGTGTGCGGGTGACTACCAGATGGGTGTTGGAATGGCATCCGCATTCAGGGACGGTGCCAGACTATTTTGCGCCCTAGGCAAGACCAGCTACTTGCACCCCCCTCCTGTGGCACAACCCCCAATGCCCCCCTGCACAGCCCCATTCTCCTGCAGGTACGTTTCTGCAGGTGACAGGTGAATGTAATTTAATTTGAAATAGCCAATAGCAGAATGGCTATTGAAACCCCACCCACTGAGCAGAGAAGTGAACCTGAGAGAGAAAGTCAGTTAAAGTGCCCATACACTACACGATTCTCGTACGAGGAAATCCCTCGACGTTTGAGAATCGCGCAGTATGGAAGGCGTGCGACCGTTCCTACTGTATGGTCGCACGACTTTAGTATTTTGAGCATGTTGGAAAACCAGCCGATTTTCGGCTGGTTTTTAACATGATCGAGAGACAACTGCCGAACGGGCCGGTGTGCGCACCCGAACACTACCCGTTCAGCATTGCAGTCATTGGAAGCCCGCCCCTTGGGGGGTGGGCTTGTGATGATCGCAAGTACGATCTGTCTGACCAAGATGGGCATATCGTACGTTTTTTTAAATTACTTTACAACCCTTCACAAGACAAAAGTCTTGCGAGGGTTGTATAGTGTATGGGCACCTTTTACGCTTCTCTGCTCAGTGGGCGGGTGCAATAGCCAGCCTGCTATTGGCTTTTGTGATTTGAAATAGACGGGGCGCCGTGGGGGGGTGAATGGTCAAGGCTGCGCCCTAGGTAGCAGTGCGCCCTAGGCAGCATTGTGCCCTAGGCGGTTGACTAGTGCCAGCACCGGCCCTGTCCGCATTTACCCATCTGTATACGTATTTGGGATTCCGGTCTGGAGTGCAATGGGGCATTTGCAATTGTGTGTTTGTGGGGACACTAAACAGCTTATTAGAACACACAAGGGTGGCTCCATTGGACCCTGCAAGGGAAAGGAGCCACCATAAAACAAGATATCAGGTCCAGTGCTCAGGGGGCCCGAGTGATTCTGCAGGAAACTAACATTTCCAACCATCAAGAAGCAGCATCCATTGTAAGTGATATCAGCATTTGAAATAGCTTAACATTTTTGACTTTAATATCATTAAAGTGATAAATGTACTAGACTTTCACTCAGTGTAAACTTCGAATAACTTGAATAATATGTTAAAAAGCGGAAATGATGGCTATCTTTCATTTTACACTCTATTTATCTTCTGATCAGTCCAGAGAAAACTGATATTTTAGTTTTTTTTAATGCTACTTTCGGAGAACTTACCCTCTAAGTAAAAACAAATGTGCAAAATCTTTTCAATAAATATTTAGGTTAGCAATCTGAAAGATGACATAATTGGCATAAGAAGCCACTGAACTTTTTCTCTTTGATATCTCCATAAGTATGTTGAAAGGTATGAGAAGGTAGGGGAGAAGTTCAATGATAGATAGTGTTTTATTTTGGCAAACGCAACCCTGGAAGCTTAACAACTGGAGATAAGAGCGAGCTTAACTGTACCGAGTGTAAAGTTTATGAAATCTCATTGAGCGCAGGGTTACGAGCAGTGCATGTCACAAATCATATACACCCATCCAGCTGAACATTATTACACCCATCCAGCCAGCAACATGTGGATCATGTGAAACTGCAGCAGAACAGCCTAGCACAGTTACATACTCTGTAAACCACTGAGGTTTTCTAAATATGAACTTGTCATTCATTTTGGCAAGTTCCTGCCGGTGAGCTGTGTGTAGTTTTTCTTTTCTACAAGAGGAGGGATAGGGAAAGCCCTTATACTTTTTATTGTGCCTCAAACCCCCCACCCCCTGTGAAGAAGGAGGAGATAGGCAGTCTGATGACTGAAAACTTGCAAAGATGTGTACTGTATGAGCAAGACATAAATGTAGACAGCTCATTTAGAACATGGGTTTGTGATTAAAACCCTCTGGAAGAACATTAAAGAGGAAAGACATTTGTCCACAGGCTTTTTTTTTTTACCCCCTCCCAGCACAAGCGGTCTATGGAAGAGCAAGACATGGGCAATAAAAAGTCAGACAAGAAAAGTTCTGCCAGTAAAGTCATTAAAATAGCCCTGATCATCTTCATTTGCATCACAGGAGTCCTAGCACTTCTGCTGCTACTAGGTGAGTACCATTTTAACAGGTTATATGCTGTGTGATCTGTTTTTTTTTTTTTATTTGACTCAAAATGCTGTAACTATGCTGAATACTAGTGATGGATAAATATATGCTAAAATATAATAGGATATACATGTAATAGAAAGTATATATAAAGTAAAAAAGTACAGGTAAATAAAAATATAAGTACAATGTCAATTCTACCAAGATTTAGATGTAATACTTTTTGTAAGATGAAACCTATTTATTATGACTACATTCATACCTCTGCATTTTTTATATGATGCAGTTTTAATGTGGTATGTTTTAAGTACACTTTACATGCGTTATACATGTATTACCTGCAAAAAAAAGAAAAAAACAGCAGTTTAAGTACAGATAATGACTAAGGGATTGTGGATACCATGTCCGTTGATCTGCGTTTTTCTGCACAACACCACACAAGTATGGTGTTAATAGGGCAGATGGACAACAATTGTTTTCTATGAGCCCTGTTTACACCACAAATGTGGGTCAGTGTGTAGAAGAATGCAGTTCAACGGACATGGTGTGTACAAACCCGTATGCAAGCCTGCCTGTGTGTGTGT